ACATTACTGTAAACAAGTGTATTGACCACTACATACTACCCTCTGTTGCAATGAGACATCCCCAGCTCTTAACCCCCGAAGCCGACCTAAAGTCTTGTTGACCACCAATTCAGAATTTACCCTTCGTCCCTCCCTCTCATCTGCCATGTACACAATACCACATATTTTAAGTTGCACCACGACTGACCACCCACACCTTTCGCCCCCCCCCCCCACGAACCCACCTCCAATAATTTCGATTTTGCCCTATTGACGCACATGCCAGTCTCTGCCCCAAAAAACTCAACAACCCATACCACGGTCTGCAAGTCCTCCTCCCCTTTTAGCAAAATCGTGGTATCATCTACGTACCCAACCACACATGCTGCACAGTCACTGCCCAGCGCCCCACACCCCAAACCACCATCCACCAGTTCATAAAAGGGGTTTTGCATACGAGCAAAAAGCAGCTGGGAGAGGAGGCACCCTTGCCTCAAACCCTTTTCCATATGGACCGGCTGCCCCAACTTACCGTTTACCTGTACTCGTACCATTGCCGAGGCATACAATGTATCAACCCATCTTACAATCCCCTCTCCAAAACCCTGCTTCAATAAAATAAGCCTCAATAAATCCCTGTGAACACAGTCATAAGCATTTTGCCAGTCAAGCCTGAGGACACCCCCTTCCTTGACATTTCCCCAAACACTCCCTAATATGTAAATGTCCTTCCCTCATGCTCCTACCTGGTATGCCTAGCTGTCCCTCATGAAAAACCAACCCCATGACCTTCCTCATCATGTTTCCTAAGACTTTTGCAAAGATTTTATAGTCCGAACACATAAGAGATATTGCTCTACATGTGCTTAGACCTCTCCCCCCCCCTCCCTTTTTGGGCACCCACACAACTACTCCCGCACTTTGTGTCATACCTAACCTCCCCTCAGTGAGCATGCAATTCAACACATCAACAAAAACAATACTTAATACTTCCCCAATGTGCCCTATAAAAATCATTCAAAATGCCATCTATACCTTCTATACCATCTATACTTTTCCTTTACTCATACTAAACATCGCCTCCTCTACCTCCTTCACTCGAATTCTACCTTCTAGTACCGTCTGATGCCTGTCACTTATAACTTTCCTGAAATCCCTCCCCACCAGGCCACCCGCATAAACTCCCCCCTACTCCCTGCCGTAGCTTTTCCCCAAACCATTGATTAGCATAAAAACTCGTGCTGCCCATGGTGAGGAGTACCTGACCTGGCAGGTAACCACCCAAATCCATGCATACTTCCAATTGCAAGAGGGATGTTGCCTGTTGTCTGACCCTAAATTTGCGCAAGACACAATGGTTTGTCACCCCATAGCACCTCTTCCATACCCGCTCTGACTCTAACTGCATTGAAACGCTCATTGTGAATTTCTGCAAGTCGACTACAGAGATGTTCAATGTCGTCATACCTGCTACTCCCGCCCCCACATAATAATTATTTAGCTGCCCCTCCAGATAGTTTTGTAGCCCATACCTCCACCTCGCCTCCTCCTCCCCCCACTTCCTATAATAACTCGCTATTCCGGGCTTGGCGCACCTTTCCCACCATTCCAACAAACATTCACCTGCCCTTCGCATTTCCCAGAGATTCTTCCACCAATCCTGAAAAGTGGACCCATCCCCCTCCCCCTCCAATAGCCGCACATTTGAGCACACATACAGTTTGAGCACATTCATTCAGTTTCCAATAACCTGGATAAAGCTGGATCATTCCATCCCAGTCCAAGTCCGCTAGCACTGCACGGTGGTCTGAAAACCCCACATCAAAGGTCTGTATGCACCCAACTCGAATTCCTGGTGTTACATAAAGTCTATCCAGGCAGGCCGCATAGCCCCTGTGGACGAACGTGTGCTCCACCCCCCACCCACCCCACTACGTCATAAACCCCTGCATCCTCCAGCAGATTCCTCAAGACAGGTAAAATGCACCTCGCCCCCCCTCGGCTTAACATCGCCATGATGGATAACGCAATTCCAATCCCCACCCATGACAGTAAGGGCAATCCCCGAGTGAGAAACGTTAAAACCTCCTTTACGAAATCTATTTTAACTTTAGAGTTGTTTTCCGCAGGCATGTAAACTCTGATGAAACAAACCCTCACCTCACCCTAGTACCCATCTACCTTCACCACCCTCCCACCTCCCCCTTCCTCCCACCTCAAGACATGCCAATTATTATTATAATCAAAAAGAAGCGCTAAGCCACAAGGACTATACAGCTCAAGACATGCCAAGGACTGGAATCCTTCACCACTATGGCTGCCCCGCCCTTAAATTTTAAAGAACTACTAACATACATTCGGTAGCCTTTTAACTGTAATTCTCGACCAAACTTATAATTATGTTCTCGTATGAAACAAACATCCACAGCGTACCTGCGCAAAAACCACTACATCCATACACACTTAACCTCCGCCTGCAGGCCATTTACGTTGATGGTAACACACTTGAATTCACAAAAAGGGTGGCTTACCTCTATGATTGTGGGTCTTTCCCGTTCTCATTCACACATTTCACTGACCTTCTTTTACATTTGACTTCCCAAGACCTCCCCCCCCATGTCCTACCCGTATGCTGGCCGCTTGCCAAAACCCCTTCCACAAGAGGCGCCTCAGCCACTTTTGACCAAGATTTTTTCCCTGGACGCTGTCCCGGTGTCAGGACCTCGTCCATATCCGACGCTTCCTGCCGACCGTTTGTGGGAACCACCTTCCACACACATCTCCTCACCAGACGAAGCCTCCTGGTGGACTTCCACCTCCACCCCATGCAACCGTAGTTTCGTCCAGGTCCCTCACATTCAGCGAAACCTCCTTCACCAACTCTTGACACACAGGTGTAACGTCAGGGCCATGTTCTGCCCCATCCAGGAGATCGTGCAGCACGCTCTCCAAAAAACTCTCCTGTGACAACTCCACAGGCTCCGCAGGCCCCACAGATGGCATCGGCACGTTCGTAGCGTCCACCGACAGGGTAGCACATGCCATAGACTGCGTTTCCTCTTGTTGTACCTCCTCACTACAAACCTTATTTCCCTGTCCAGCCGAGGGACCAGACCAGAGATTGAAGGCCTCGGTTCGTAGGACAACAGGAGAAGGTTCTCGGATGCGGACAACCAGGTGCCTGGGACAATTCAAATTCAAATTCCAAGTTTATTCTCTATAAGGATTACAATGCTGAGTTTACAGAATTTGGTTATTGTGTGGTTTACATGTAGTAAAATAATAATTACAGAGTGTACCACTAGAACACCTAGCATGGCTAGGCATTTCGGGCAGACTTAGATTAAATCTTAAGTTTAAAATATTACAAAATTATGAGGTAAGTTGGTATTATGGCTAAGTGACTAAATATGGTCGTATGAGTTGCATAACCTGCATGTTTTCCGTTGGCCTGCGTAGTAGACAAAAACCTGGGTCCTGTAGTTTTCCAGATGAATGTATGATGGAATTGGCTGTTTTAACGTTATCTTGAGGGTGAAGGAACCCTCCGAAAGCCCCTCGTATGGGCCCTCCCTCCACACTCCCTTGGCCGCACATATTCTAAAGATATTATTATTATTATTATTGTTATTTTCTCAATTGTTTGTTGGGTTATCTTATTGAAACTTGGACAATGTATGATGGAAAGATACTTCTTAAGGTACACCAAAAATGAAAGAAATCAGACCATAAATAGCGGAGTTCACTTCTCAGCCATTAGCGGCCGCTTAGCGGTATATTTTTTGTATGGTTATGATTATATTCTTGTTTTTTCGGTCTCATTTGATAATGAAAGATATATTGCAGAAATATATATGATTTTGATTGCTTTTATGATGAAAAGTACCTTGAAATTGCGCTCACAGTAGCGAAAATGTTCTATTCTTTAGTGAAGCTCAAGAGTAAACAAATGACGTCACCGTCCAATACCTGTCTGCCTCCCAGTCCAAATTCCAATACGGAGTCAAGAATGGGTTGACATTATTTGTACAATTATTACAATAATGCAGCAGTATGCATAACAGTAAATCTTCTATTTTTTTGTGAATAAAAATTACAAATGGAAAGCAAGAGTAATATATGAGGGGCCTGGAGCCGTGACTAATGAAGAGAAAATGTTATTTTAGTACCAGGAATGTCTGCATTGTTTATTCTGGACCCTATTTTGAAATTGGCATCTGTTGAAATTTGTGTGAAATTGGCCAAATTGCCATTTTCTGACCACTATATTGGGTAGTTGAAATAAGTGAATGGGCGGTTTCTTGTACTGTACTCAGTTGACAGACTAGAAGTACGTAAATAAGTAAGTTTATTCAGGTATACACAAATACAATTACATAGATTATCATACATAGCAGTGTATGTATAGAGAACCTAGGATAACCCAAAAAAGTCAGAGTGACTTATTTCCAGTACCTGGCTTGGGCTTGCCATATATGATTTTTGGTAAATATTATTTTCTCTCAGTTGTTTGTTGGGGTGTCTTATTAAAACTTGGGCAATGTATGATGGAAAGATGCTTCTTAATGTACAACAAAAACAAAAATAACGGACGATAAATAAGGGAATTCACTTCTCAGCCATTAGCTGCCTCTTTGCGGTATATTTTCGCATGGTTTTTATGGTTGTATTCTCGTTTTTTTGGTCTCATTTGATAGAATGGAAGATATATGACAGAAATAGACATGATTTTGATTGCTTTCATGACAAAAAGTACCTTGAAATTGAGCTCAAAGTAGCGGAAATGTTCGATTTTGCCAATGTTCAATGAACTTTGTGTAAGTCAAGTTGGTTAATTTTATTAAGTGTATTCTAACCTAACCACTCTGTAATCCGACACACTATAGGTCCCAATGATGCCGGAATTGTGATGGAGGACCTGTAGTATTAATATATAATCAAGTTAATCACTAAATCCGAAAGGGTCATACTGCACTGCTAGTAAAGAATAAGATACACATAAAGGAATAAAGACAAATGAGCATGTTTAGTATTCTTTATTGATAATACAAAATACTGAATATGCATTTCTGTAGTGAGTCCAACAGTCTTCATACCATTTTTATAAATTAAATACTTTCTAGTCATGTAATTATTATAACCTATTTGCTAACATAAAATACTTACAAATATTTAGGAAAAAGTTTTATTGAATGGCACAAAAAGTAAAAAAAAGCCAGTAGGAGAGGATGCTTCACTTAGTCCAGGACACTTTAGGAATATCGAAGTGTTCAGTGAGAGAGTCCAAGTGGCGATTGAAATCTTCTACCTTTTCCTTGTGAGTCTTGCTTGCCTTTTTTAAAATCCGATCAGCTTCCTATAAATGAATAATTAATTTCTGTAATACACAACTTAAAAATGCACATATAAAAAATACATAAGTGGGGATAAAATGCAATCTAGACAGGTATTCAGCGGGTCCTCAAATAATAACGTTTCATTAAAACAAGAAAAAATAAAATGAATACAATGAAGACAAATTTTTGTAAAATTATAATTCATAAAGTATAGGATAATACTACAAATGCACAACAATAAACAATGCAGTACAAAAACTCTCAGTGATCCCGCCATATTTGTTGTCTGTTTTTGAACTGTGTGGTGGTAGGAGGTGCTCCTTACAATTTTTGCTTTGCTAACATTTATTCCTTTATTTAACCCTGTTGCAATGAGTGCTGAAGGGGCACTGTGCACCCCTGATGTCTGTGGCTATGAAAAACAAAAAAAAAAAAGTGACATCAGAAACAAAACTAGAAGTTTTAATTAGCCTATGGTAAAGTTGGTTTTGTTGTATGTCGTTTCACTTCAAGCTGCAGTTACCAAGAGCCTATCGACGACTTTAAGTGAGAACTTATTATACATGTGAAAATCTAAAGTACATATATACAGTGCTCAATACTATGATATATTTTTAAAACAGCTTGACATGTTCTACGACTGAATGACCCAGATTCAATCCCAAGTAAGTTGAGACGTGCAGGCTAGCATCCTTTCACCTGCTGTCCCCTGTTCACCTAGCAGTAAATAGGTATCTGGGGCATAAACTTGCAAATTTAATCTTGGGGAAGTGAATCAAAAGGTCCCAGTGGAAATGAGCTATAATACTTATGGCTTTTAAAAGGTTAACAATACAGTGGACCCCCGCATACCGTTGGCATCACATAACGATTAATCCGCATACCGCTTGCTTTAATCGCAAAAATTTTGCCTCGCATACCGCTTAAAAACCCGCTCACCGATTTTCGTCCGAGACGCGTCCAATGTGCGCCCTCAGCCAGCCTCACATGTGCCGCCAGTGGCATTGTTTACCAGCCAGCCTCCGCGGTAACATCCAAGCATACAATCGGAATATTTCGTATTATTACAGTGTTTTCGGTGCTTTTTCTGGAAAATAAGTGACCATGGGCCCCAAGAAAGCTTCTAGTGCCAACCCTACAGCAATAAGGGTGAGAATTACAATAGAGATGAAGAAAAAGATCATTGATAAGTATGAAAGTGGAGTGCGTGTCTCCGAGCTGGCCAGGTTGTATAATAAACCCCAATCAACCATCGCTACTATTGGTGGTACAGCTGGTGCTGCTGTAGCATCGTCTGCTGCTGCTGTAGCATCGTCTGCTGCTGCTGTAGCATCGTCTGCTGCTGCTGTAGCATCGTCTGCTGCTGCTGCTGCTGTAGCATCGTCTGCTGCTGCTGTAACATCGTCTGCTGCTGCTGTAGCATCGTCTGCTGCTGCTGTAGCATCGTCTGCTGCTGCTGCTGCTGTAGCATCGTCTGTTGCTGCTGTAGCATCATCTGCTGCTGCTGTAGCATCGTCTGCTGCTGCTGCTGCTGCTGCTGTAGCATCGTCTGCTGCTGCTGTAACATCGTCTGTTGCTGCTGTAGCATCGTCTGCTGCTGCTGTAGCATCGTCTGCTCTGCTGCTTGCTGCTTTTTCTGTAGTCATCTGTCTGTTGCTGCCTGGGCTGTCGTACATCGTCTGTTGCTGCTGTAGCATCGGTCTGCTTGCTTGTTTGTTACCACCGTCAGCTGCTGCTGCTGCTGTAGCACTGTTGTTGGTGTGGCTTATTGAGAATACCAAGAAAAAATTAACCCCAGAGGATTTGCCACCCAGGATAACCCAAAAAAGTCAGTGTCATCGAAGACTGTCTAACTTATTTCCATTGGGGTCCTTAATCTTGTCTCCCAGGATGCAACCCACACAAATCGACTAACACCCAGGTGAACAGGGAAAAATGCCTGGAACTAGTGCTCATATTGGTGAATTTAAAGCCAGCAAAGGTTGGTTTGAGAGATTTAAGAATCGTAGTGGCATACACAGTGTGATAAGGCCTGTTCTGGAAGAAAATGCCAAACAGGACCTACAGTACTCAGGAGGAAAAGGCACTCCCAGGACACAGTGTCTCATCAGTCATTGCTGCATCTTCAATAAAGGTAAGTGTCATTTATTCTTCATTTAGTAGACTAGTACATGCACAATATATACTGTGCATGTACTACTCTACTACTGTGCATGTATCCTTCTCTTTGTGTGTAGGAAAATGTATATTTCATGTGGTAAAATTTTTTTTTTCATACTTTTGGGTGTCTTGCACGGATTAATTTGATTTCCATTATTTCTTATGGGGAAAATTCATTCGCATACCGATTATTTCGCATAACAATGAGCCCTCTTGCATGGATTAAAATCGTTATGCGGGGGTCCACTGTATAAGAAATTACTGTATGTACACTACCTTAGTTTGCCTTTATTACTTAAAATTGCAGAATAAACAAAAACTGCAAGATCTTCCGAGTTAATTCCTAAGTTACATTTCAGTCACAACAGGCAAAGTTTAACAGAATTGGCCAACTGGACTTAGTAGGTGCAGCTTAATGATTATTACTGCAAGATAATTACTCAAAACAGATGCAATGAATGCCTCGTATGGGTTTAATGTTTTTTTTGTGAATATGATAACAAAGATGTTATCCATTGCACATGCATAAAGAGGTAGGTAGGTAGGTAGGTGTACATGCACATCAGTGCGTGTGTGTGCGTGAGAGAGAGAGTGAGTGAGTGAATAAGATCTCATGTTAGGTAATGTTACCAATGGATATTATTAAAGTAAAACGAGACCATCAGTCTTTCCATTCTTGCCATTTTCTGAATACATATATATTTTTCAATAAATGAGAGATTTTTAATCTGGCTTGTTAACTACTGCACATGTATTCAAAAATCTAAAACTGCCTACCGTAAAGAACACCCATACTTATTCATGTGCCTACTACATACATAGAGCACTACACTCAAACATAAACCTTCCACTCAAACTTCTCCTCAACCTTAACAAGACACACAACCATAACACAAGACACAGATCTCTTTTTGATGTGCCCAGAGTCCAAATCTCACTGTGTAAAAACTCTATGAACATCAATTTAAGCCTCTTCTCAAAAACCACTTACTCACCCTAAATACTTAACTTTACCAAAAAATCTCCCAATTACCTAAATCTTAAAACTCCAAAACTAGATGCCCAAAGTTCATACACTGATTAATACTGCATTGTAGTAAACATACCTACCCAAAACAATACTGTCTTACACCCAAATGTAGCATTCTCATAGTGCAAACTACTTTCAACAACTCACAATGTTATATTCAGATAACATAATTTCAATATTTATTATTGAAACTATTGTAATTTGAGTACAACTAATGTCCACTATAAATAAAAACAGATGTACAACTTTAACAAACTATGATCAATTTATTTAGTATTAAGTAGTCTGTAAGCCATTAAATTAAGTCTGCCCATAATGCCCAGGCATGATAGTGGCTCTCTTTGCACTGCAACTCATTATTATAATTTCATAATCTCAATGTAATCTTGCAAAGAAATAAAATTTGTTTTGCTTTTTTGTTTTATTTGTTTAACATGTGAAAATTCTAACAGGAGTACCAAATGACCCATATGGATTATCACATTTTTTGTAAATGTTTTTTTCTGACTGGAAAACTAAGTTAATTTTCTCCATAAATTATAGTTAAATGGTATAAGGCAAAACTTAATGAACTCTGAAGGCTACCTTTTTTCTTTCCATGTACATTACAAGATCCTTCTAGCCTTTCTGCTCTTTTTAGGAACTATAAGCAGTTGTGTCTCCTCTTCATGCTTGACATAATACCCATCTGTAAGACCTGCTAACAATTGTCTTACTATACAAAATGAAAAAAAAAAAAACATTTTAAAATGTTTAAAAAAAAAAAAAAAAACAAGGTTTAATTATGAGTCCTCACCATTTTTCTCCGGCGTTCCATGAATCTTCGCTCAGCTTGCGTTACGGAGCGGGTTGAAGACGTAGGCTCACTTGTAGTCTCTATCTCTCGACGAATGTTTGCCTCCATCTGCTTTTCAATATCCTTCTTCTTCTTCTTTTTCTTTCTTAAATTAAGTTAAATTACTGCATTACAATTTGACAATACCTAATATGCATAATTACCCTTTAATTACCTGTTTATAAACTACCATCAAGTTACCTCGTTGCTCTTGGCTGGAAGCAACCTTGAAAAGCCAGTCTTTCTGCTCCTGATATAGTATTCCATACTGTACTGTAATAAACTAACCCAAAATGGAAAAACTTAGAAAAAAATTCTCCACAAACACAATTCAGTTAAGAATGTAGTGTTAAACATACAGATAAATTTACTTATGACATCTGTCTTGTTTAAAAAAAGTAATAAAATCTTTTTCATACAATTATAGTTAAAAGACAATCAGATACAATTAAATATCCAAAAACGAAGCCATTTATTATATGCATAACATTTTTGGGCAAACTTATCCTTGAACTTGCATCCAAGTACGTATACAGTGGTACCTCAAGTTACGAACTTAATTCATTCCAGAAGGCTGTTTAAGTGCAGATACCAAACAAATTTGTTCCTATAAGGAATAATGTAAATTAGATTAGTTGGTTTCAGACCCCCAAAAATACATTTACAAAAGCACTTACAAAAATACACTTACATAATTGTTTGAGTTGGGAGCTGTTCAAAACACGACGTACCGCTGTACAGTGGACCCCCGTATTACATCGTCGTTGGATTTCGCAATATTCGGAATAGGTAACATTTTTTCATCAAAATATTGGCTCAGTGATCATCATTGAGCTCAGTAATAGTCATTCGTCCCAAACATGTCCGTGCGGTCTGAGTGGCCCGACACACCATTTACAGCCAGTGTGCCATTGTTTATCAGCCAGTGAGGACGATCCCACGTGTTCATATGATACATTTTGTATTATTCCATTCTCTTTAGTGCTTGTATCTGCTAAATAAGCCACCATGGGCCCAAAGAAAGCTTCTAGTGCCAGCCCTTTGGTAAAGAATGTGAGAACCACTATAGAATTCAAGAAAGACATCACTGCAAAATATGAAAGTGGAGTATGTGTTGCAAAGCTGGGCAGGTTGTATAACAAACCCCATACAACCATCGCTTCTATTGTGGCCAAGAAAAAGGAAAGCAAGGAACCTGTTGTTGCGAAAGGTACAAATATGCTTACGAAACAAAGATCGCAAATACTGGAAGATGTGGAGACTGTTGGTGTGGATCAATGAGAAACAATTCTCAGGAGACAGTGTTATGCAGTTGATAATTTGTGAAAAGGCAAGGCAGTTGCATGAAGATCTCGTAAAGAAAATGCCTGCAACGAGTGTTGATGTATTGGACTGACGAAGCACCGTGTGGTGAAGCGTTTCTTCAATAAAGACAGCAATGCCTAATTGTATGCAATAAGGCAAACAGATTACTGGGATTTATATCAAGAAGTATAAGCAATAGAAGTCCAGAGGTTATACTACAGCTTTATACATCATTAGTAAGGCCTCACCTAGATTACGCAGCTCAGTTCTGGTCTCCATATTACAGAATGGATATAAATTCATTAGAAAACATTCAACGAAGAATGACAGAATTAATTCATAGCATTAGAAATTTTCTGTATGAAGAAAGATTGAAGTCCCTTAAATTACATTCACTTGTAAGATGGAGAATGAGGGGAGACATGATCGAAGTGTACAAGTGGAAGATGGGTATTAACAAAGGGGATATAAATAAGGTCTTGAGAATCTCTCTCCAAGAGAGAACCCGCAATAATGGATTCAAATTAAATAAGTTTAGATTTAGAAAGGATATAGGAAAATATTGGTTTGGAAATAGGGTAGTTGATGAGTGGAACAGTCTGCCTAGTAGGGTTATTGAAGCTAGGACCTTGGGTAGTTTCAAATTTAGGTTGGATAAATACATGAGTGAAAGAGGTTGGATTTGTGGGGGACTTGCATGTGAGTGAATGGAGTTATCAGGGCTTGTTTTCTTGGGTAGTGCTGAAAGTTGGGTTGGGCAAATGTTCTAACAGTGGGATGGATTGTGAAGGACCTGCCTAGAATGGGCAAACAGGCCTACTGCAGTGCTCCTCCTTTCTTATGTGAAGTACTGGTTTTCAAACAGAATTGTGGATGTGTGGAACGGTCTTCCGAGTAGGGTGATCGAGGCTAGGAATTTGGGAAGCTTTAACCCTTTCAGGGTCAGTGTCGTACTAGTACGGCTTGCACGCCAGGGTTGGTGCCATACTAGTACTCATAAATTCTAGTGCCTTCAAATCTAGCGAGAGAAAGCTGGTAGGCCTACATATGAAAGAATGGGTCTGCGTGGTCAGTGTGCACCTTATAAAAAAAAATCCTGCAGCACACAGTGCACAATGAGAAAAAAAAAACTCTGATCGTGTTTTTGGTTTAAAACAGCGACTTTGCAGTGTATTTTCGTATGGTATTTATGATTGTATTCTCATTTTCTTGGTGTCATTTTATAGAATGGAAGACATATTACAGAAATTGAGATGGTTTTGATTGGTTTCACAATGAAAAGTACATTGAAATTAAGCTCAAAGTAGCAGAAATGTTCGATTTTTGCCAATGTTCAAAAGTAAACAACTCATGCCATTCGTCCATTATTATTATTATAATCAAGGGGAAGCGCAAAACCCGTAGGATTATACAGCGCCTGTGGTGGGGATGTGGAAGGTATTCAGGCTTAATTCAGGGAACTGGAGCACAGATCCAATTCCCTAGATCTAGAGCCCCTCACCAGCGTCAAGGAACCTTCCTTGAGGGGGCCATTCGTCCAATACATGTCAACTGGTGAGTCTAATATTCTTTCACAAGTGCGCTGATATTATTTATACCATTTATACACTAATGCAGTAAGTAGTCTGTGTAACAGTAAATCTTCTATTTTTTGTGAGAATAAAAGTTCAAAGTGGAAAGCAAAAGAAATGTAAGAGGGGCTGGGGACATGACTAATGAACAGAGAAAATGTTATTTTAATGCCAGGAATGTCTGTCTTGTTTATTCTGGACCCTATTTTGAAATTGACATTTTTTGAAATTTGTGTGAAATTGGCAAAATTGCCAATTTCTGATCACTTTATTGGATAGTTGAAATTGGTAATTGGCTGGAGTCTTGTACTCATTCGATAGAACAAATGGAGTTCTAAAGAAATAGCTATGATTTTTGTTGACTGATGCATCGGAATTGGCCAAAAATATGGCTCAAAGTGGGCGAAATTGCCGATGCATAAACATCATCGAGACTGCTAACTTTGCAAGAGCATAATTCCGTAAGTTTTCCATCAAATTTCATACTTTTGGTGTCACTATGATCGGGAAAAGATTCTCTATTATTTCATAACAAAAAATAGTGGGAAGGGCTGGGTTTGATTGGTGTAGTGGATACAGGAGTAAGTTCTTGGGTAGTTTAGGGTAAGGGTGGTTTTGATAAAGACCTGCCTTGTATGGGCTAGTAGGCCTTCTGCAGCGTTCCTCCATTCTTATGTTCTTATGATAAATTAGACACATGTGCAACACTTGGGTATCTTTAATGAGGAAATGTTTTGCCACACAGTGGCTTCATCAGTCCATACAAAGGAGAATGGTGTTAAAACAGGAGTAGTTTGAGGTAATCAGTCCCTCAGCATTGAGTCAATGTAGTCAGTCCATCAATCTTGAAAAGTATACAGCATATGTGCAAAGAAGTAGCTTATATACTGTAGGCAGGAGAGGTGCAGCAGTCGTCGGTGGTATCACACTTGTCCAATGTGGAAGCAGGTCATGCCCAAGCATTAGGCAATTGAAGAATTCCCTGTATTAACCCTTTCAGGGTCCGTGCCATAGTTCTATGGCTTTGAGTTGTGGGTCCAAACCGTAAAACTATGCCAAAATTCTAGTGGCCTCAAATTTAGCTCGAGAAGGCTGGTAGGCCTACAGTTAAGAGAATGGGTCTGTGTGATGTGTGTGCGCTGTAACAAAAATTCTAGGCGCCTGCATGGCATTGTGGGAAAGCCACCTCAATAAGCTTTGTTCACCATGCCTCGCGGCACGGCAGCTCTCACTCTGAGGCGAATTTGGACTCTCCTCTTCCTAATTGATAGTTCTGACTCTGATGGAAGTGGAAATGAAGAGGAATTCTATGGTTTTGATCAATTAGTGACCGAAAGCAATGACCAGGATATCAAAAATAGTGCGGAAAATCCTGACAATCCTAAACCTTCTACCTCTGGTGTGGGCATGTCTCAGTCACATTCAGTTGTAGCTCATCGCAAGAGAAAACTAATATTTTCACGTGGCCAGGCCTTAGACTTGAGTAATGGTGATGATAGTGATGTGGACTTTGATTTTATTGCTCTTGACCATTCAAGTAGTGACAGTGATCAATCATATTCACCAGTGAAGCATCAGTATATATGCCGCCGCATGCGCTCGGGTAGTGTTCCATATGCAGTGCTAAGGGGACAGATTCCTAGGCCTATACCTCGACAACAACCTGAACTTCAGCATCCGTATCCAACACATAACCAAAAAAGTATCCAAAACGGTTGGGATCCTCTCCAAGATACGATACTACGTGCCGCAAACTGCCCTTCTCACACTATACCACTCACTTATATATCCATACCTCACCTATGTTATCTGTGCTTGGGGTTCAACTGCAGCAACACACCTAAAGCCAATAATAACCCAACAAAAAGCCGCAGTAAGAATAATCACTAAATCCCATCCCTGGCAACACACCCCCCCACTCTTCATAGATCTAAACTTACTCCCTGTTCAGTACATCCACACTTACTACTGTGCAATCTACATCTACAGGACCTTAAATTCCAATATTAACCTTGACCTAAAATGCTTTCTTGATAGTTGTGACAGAACCCACAGGCACAACACCAGACACAAACATCTCTATGACATTCCCCGTGTCTGACTAAACCTTTACAAAAATTCAATGTATGTCAAAGGCCCTAAAATCTGGAACACCCTACCTGAAAATTCCAAAACTGCAGACACATTCATCACCTTCAAAACTACCATCAGAAAACACCTTATCTCCCTG